ATTGGATTTGAGCACTGCCCACACCAATTGTCAATAGGTTCTCCAAACAAGCAACTTCCCCAAATTTCCATCAAATCCAAAATATGGGAATTGAGCTTGAGACCTTCAACATGCAAGCAAGTAATCTACCGCTGAGATATCTAGGTCTTCATTAATAAGGATCCTGGTAAGACTATGGCTTTTGACAAGTGGTTGCTCTATTGAAGCAAACTCCCATTCTACAGCTGCAGGAAATCACTGTGAATCTTTTGTTATTGACATTCCCACAATATTCACACACAACATACAGATCAAAAGGTTTTTCTTCTGGAAATACAAAGCTGATCATTTTCTTTAGAGGTCTCCAATACAATTATTTCAGGGGTGGGATACAACAGGGTTAACTACCGGTTCAGGATTTATGAAGTTGATTTATGATGTGCTTCCCTGCACAATGCGAGCGCAGGCCTGTAAATCATCATCAGCACACTGCGAGCAGAGAAGAAGCCTTTGAAACAGCCCTCTTTTCCTGCTTTTTTAACTGCCGTTGTGCCTTATTCGGCAACTGAAGTTGAAAAATCAGGAAATAAAGATCAGGTAAGAGCCCGGATGGGCGGGTGGGCAAAAACATCAGCAGACATAGAACCGGTTCTATGTCTGCTGCTCTTCAGAGCTACCGGTTCTACAGAGGTGGACAGAACCGGTAGAAACCCACCCCTGAATTATTTACAGACAAAAAGGTATCAAGCAATTCATATTTCTATATGCCTTCTTGGTATGATCTCTGTATATATACTATATGAATAGTGTATTTGTAATGTCTGCTTGAACTAAAGTCAAGGAAGTGTTTTAATGAAATGGAATAATTATCACTGTATTTTGATCATGACAACTAAAAGAGAAAACTAACAAGTTGCTTGGAATCCACCAAGGTCATTAATGTATCTCTGACAGAAGTTGATTGATCAATACAGCATCTTTCCAAAGAAGTCAAGAATTTAGAAGATCCTAAAAATTCTCCAGGAATTGTACATATGCTATCATAGATAGCATATAGATAGCACAGAAAGGGAGATGTGAAAGAACATTTTAAAGGGCATTTAATTTCCTGAGTATGCAAGCTACATAAAAATGAGTGTTTGGAAAGAAATAAACAATAGGGTTTATTAGGGCATAGGGTCAAATACTCAGGAACAAACTATAGGGTCAAATACTCTCCAATATTTTTTATTCAAGTCCATTAACACTAGTATGCCATAATTGGAAACCCAAATATATTCCACAACAAATATTTTTTTTTATTTCTTCTACAAGTAATTTCCCCCAAAGTTAAGCTCAACTGGATCTACAAAAGGAATCTTTTTTTATCTCAAATGTGGTAATCAAAAAGGTCACTGTGTATGTTTATATTTTAATTTTAGCAATCCCTGTTTGCTTCCGGGAAAGGTAAAACCGGAAGCAGATATTTCAAATGTTTGTTTAAAACAGATTGCAGTATCTGATCTTAAAGAAAACAAGTCATACTCCAGAAGAACTGTTAATTGAAGAAAAATATTCCTTCAGATTATTTTTTTTACTTTTGTAGCAACTACTCATTCTGAAAAAGCAACCTCAAGCTTTAGAAAACAGTGGAGTACATACAGACACACAGAATTACTATATTTGAGTATATAATTAGAAGATTCTGGATTAAAGAGAATCCAAGAAAAAATTCCTTCACTTTTGTATATAAAATAAAGCATCTGATAATGCTGATCTTTAAAATCATTTTCACAAATTATAAACAGTAACTTTGTTTTTTTTATCCCATTATTTTAAGAGATACCTCTCATTGTACTTCATATGCTATCTTTGTTTATTCAGAATTACTGTGCCCTTCATTTTCTTTAAAACTCTTCATAAAGGCTCCGGGAAGAATTAAAAATAAATTAAAAAAAATAAGACACTGTTAGCTTGAAAAAACATGAAGTATTTTCATGGAATGATAATGTCAGTCCTAAGGGGGTTGTGGGGCTTGATGCCAAGCCAAGCTGGGGGCTGTTCAATCACCTCTATCACAGCTCTATCAGTGTCTACACTCCAGTCAAATCCAGAGAAAACAAGGAGTCAAAGATGCAGGTCAATAAGCTTATAGACGATTTGCACAAACGGTTCCTCCAGCAAGGTAAAAAACAAAGTCATATTGGCTTTTTGGGAGGGTTTCTTTTTTCCCCTTCCCTTTTGAACTCTTTGGGCTAAGCACGTCCTGAAAAACTCGTCACTATATGCAAGACATGCAAAGTATTCTTAATCCTGTTAAGAAAAAAAGAGCAAAGTTATCATCCATAAAAACTTCCCCGTGGACCTCAAAATGATTACAGGTAGAACCACCTTGTCTTAATTCTGCTTCTGGCTATTTAGCATTAGAAAAACACAAAAGATATTCTTGAAAAAGTAGAAAATCATTACTGATTCAAAGCATATCTTTTTTTAAAAAAAATAACTTTTGACCTTTCTGATTATCTTAAATATACACAAACAGGACAGCAAATAAGTTGGCTGTTTGAACAAAACACAAAAGCTGCAGAAAATATTTACACATGGTCACATAAAGTCAGAAAGTAGAGGAGATAGTGGAAACTTTTCCAGTTTGCCAATGATTTCGTTAGCATTAAAAGGCCCCCATTAGGTCCTTACAACTCCAGCAGGAAAAAGAAAAACACTAAATCAAATAACAATGGGATCAGTGTAAATGAATACTGACATCCTTAGTCAAAAAAACACTAAAATTCTAAAGCCCAGCTCCTGGAATCAGCACCAACTCCATCTTTCTGATTTCAAGTTGTTATTCATATCCAGACCCTTACCATATAGACATCCTGAATTATTAAAATATCCAACACCAAACCTGCAGGGAAGAATCAACCTTACCAATATCAACTGGCACCAAATATTCCCATGAGCCTTTAAAACAGCTGTGTAAATGTGTGTGTGTGTGTGTGTGTGTGTGTGTGTGTGTGTGTGAGAGAGAGAGAGAGAGAGAGAGAGAGAGAGAGAGAGAGAGAGAGAACATTCCCAAAAGTATCAAGTATCTTCAATAGCACCTCCTGATAGTACCAAGAAGTTAAGAGAGAAACTACCAGAGAAGTTAAGAGAGAAACTACTTTCAGCTCCTTCAAGGATGATAAAAAAATACCATGATTAAAAAGTGGCTAAGAGATCCAAGAGTATTAATAGAAATATATTTATTTATTTTTATGGCTCAATTTGTATTCAATGGTATTCAATTTATATGGCTGCCCATCTCAGTCAATGACTCTGTTTCCTTGTTTTTATTCTGGTGCAGATTGTCGATTAGGGCACCCAAGGCTGTCTCCATGCCAAAACTGATGATCCATTTATTTTAAGAGTTCCTAGACCTGCACCTGGATACTGGTCTATAGTCATGCAAAGACCATTCTTTAAACCTGTGACCTTTTGTGTGAGAACATTGAGTTCCTGTTGGAATTTTTTTTTTGCATGTATATTGTACATTTGTGTTCAGACTACCAACATTGTTTATGCTTATGTTGTTTTTTGCATTTTTTTTAATTATAAGCCACAAAGTTATTGGGAATTGGATGACCTGTAAATTTGTGTTAAAAATAAACTGATAAATAAGCGACTACACCATTCATTTTACACACACACACACACACACACACACACACACACACACACACACAATGTCCTTCATTGATAATAGAAAGATTATATCAATTATGTTGACTATGTTATACTGTGGAATGTGCTCAGGAAAATGGAAATCCCTCATCATATATGAAATCAGGAAGCCACAATATACACAGAACTATAATCACCCCAAAGAGCATGATAGCAATAAATACATTTAAAAAATAAATATCAGAAAACAGACTAGCTTAATGTTGGCAAAAGAGTGAAACAAGACTGTATATGTTCCTCTTTTGTATTCAACCTATATGCTGAATATATATGTTAAGGGAAGACAGTTTGGAAAATGATAAGCATAGTTTTAAAACTAGAGGAAAAAGCGTCAATAATCTTATCTGTGTTGATGACACTACCCTGATAATTGAAATTGAAAATGATCTACAAGCTCTGTAATAAAAATTAAGGAGAAAACTGGAAAAAATGGGATCAAGATTAAATGTAAAGAGCAAACTAAGAATAACAGATAGAATGACCAGCAGGAAGACATTAAAAGTATAGATAACTTCTTCATTCTATATTTGGCCATTAATAGTGAAGGAATAAACAAAAAAGAAATGTTGTAGATTAGCACTTGGTATAGGCATGAAGGCAATGGAAAAGATGCTGTGATTATCAGTTGTTGTAGCCAAGAAATGAAACCGTTGGATCATATAAAAATCTGGCTCAGTGTTCTTACTCGAGACACAAAGGACAAGGCTCCAACTTTTTGACACGTTATATGGAAAACCTAGCTTTCTGGAAAAGGCTCTAATGCTGAGAAAAGAAGAAAGAAAGAGAATAAAATAGTGGAGGATTTGAAAAACTAGTGTAGATATAGATCATTAGGAAGAAATTCTATCTATGTGTTTGCTAGCAACTGAAAATGATTTGATGACACATAATCAATCAATCAATCAATCTAGCACCAAACAAGAGTAGCATTATAGCCTATGCTTTCTCAAGCTGACTTCAGAGATTACTTCAGTAGGCAGAAAAGTAGGTGTACAATTGTCAATAAAGCATTAAGACACAGCTGGCTATGAAAAAATTTACTAAGAAGTGGCCTTATTTAATAGCTTTCCCAGAAAGAGATATGCCTTACAACAGTGGTGTCAAACTGGTGGCCTACGGCCTGGATGTCTCACGCACAGGCCACACCCACCCAAACTCCGCAAAGGCAAAAAGCGTCCCGATAAGTCATGTGATATGATCGACTTTGACATCCATGCCCTATAATGTCCAAGGGGTCACTGTATGTTTATAAGACAATTCCAAAGAAAACAAATCAATTTACATTATGCCTGAACCAAGAACTGCATATTACTGATTACCTTTATTACAAAAGTATTCCACATCTTCACAGTTCAGATTCCCAGACTCAAATTCTGCAGAAAAGTTTCCCTCCAGGGGAAAGTCTTCTTTGGATATAATGTCATTTTCCTCAGACAGGCACTCTTCCTCTTCATCCTCAACAGCATCTTCAAGGGGGCCTTTAAAAAAACAAGAACACTGTACCAATACAGCAGCAAAAGCCACACCTAAAGATTTTGTTTGGGATTCTGTATGTAGAAACAGGTGATCAACCAGAAAAGAGCATAGGTAACAACAAAATATGAGTTATAAAAGTTGCTAACTTTTGTTAGCATACCATAACAAAGCATACCTTTGTTATGCAAACAAAGGGTGAGAAACAAAGGGAGAAAAATATCCTTAACAGCTGGCACTGAAAGAGAAGTATATTATAAATTAGGGAATATTAATGATTGATAATGTAAGAATGAATTGACAATTACAGATAGATAGATAGATAGATAGATAGATAGATAGATAGATAGATAGATAGATAGATAGATAGATAAATAGATAGATAGATAGATAGATAGACAGACAGACAGACAGACATATAGACATACACACACACACACACACACACACACACACACACACGTATGGTAT